TGACTTTTAGAAAAATCATAGGAAAAAATTACTTTTAAACCCCATTTCAAACTAATACCTGTCGCTGTTATGTCGTGATGGTCCAATAAAAAACACACAAGAAGGTTGATTCAGGGCAATATAAGAAAAGGCTTCTTCCTTTATTAAAATCCCAGCTCCTTTTATATCCTTTTCAAAAAGCAGCAAGCAAGCAGTGAGCAAGCAGCGAGTAAGTAGCAAGCAAGCAACAACATCCTACTTGGTTGCTCATCGTTACTGATACACTCGCAGCAATGGGGAGACACCTGGAGATGCCCAAGGACAAGGCTGTGGTTCTCACACACTGAATCTATGGACTCACAGTCCACCCTCGCTCCCCAGTCAGCCCATGTGTAAAACTTACTTAACTTCAAGGCCCCACTCGAAAGTTTCCCAAGTCAACCTCCTCTTCCAGGGAGCGAACAGACCTGCTGTTAACCCCTACAAATACCTACATCACATTTCGGCATGAAGCAAGGTGTACTAAGCATTACAAAACAGAACTCAGAAACTTCACATTTCAGTTGCCAGCCCCTTGCAAAATACAGAAGACACAGAACTTTCCCTCATGAAAGATCTGTAATACAGAGCAAACAGAAACCAAAAATTAAGTCTTTTAACACACATACATTTCTAAGCTAGACAACAGTTCTAACAATTTTAATGCAATTTATTTTTAAGCCTTCCCTCCTCTAGTATAACTGTAAATTGTTTCAAAATACTCCTACTGCAGTTAAAACCCTTACACAATCCTTACATGAGCAAAATTTAACATAAAATTTTCCTTCATTTATAGTTTTCCTTTTACATATTTCATCTGACCACAAGTTTGAACATGACTCTTAAAAGCATGGCATTTTAAATGCTCTTCCTTGACAGCATTAAAAAAAAGACCTTGAAAAGCAACTGTGGTCTTTCATCAAAGACTAAAATACTTCTTGCTCCATTTAGTACTACCTGCAAGAACTGTAGAAAAAAAACTTAAAATATTTAACTTGAAGACTTCGTGCCCTGTGTTTGGTTTTGGTTGGAGTAGAGTTAATTTTCTTCGCAGTGGCTGGAATGGGCTGTGCTTTGGCTCTGTGCTGGAGCAGTGCTGATAAACACAGCGGTGGTTTTGCTGTGGCTGAGCAGAGCTTGCACAGCCTCAAGGCCTTTCCTGCTTCTCCCACTGCCCCGGCAGAGGGGAGGCCGGGGGTGCACACACACCGGGAGGGGACACAGGCAGGACAGGTGACCCCAGCTGACCAAAGGGATATTCCAGACCATCTGTCCTCACGCTCAGCACACAGAGCTGGGGGGAAGGAGGAGGAAGAGCAGGACATTTGGAGTGATGGTGTTTGTGTTCCCAAGTAACCATCACCCATGATGGAGCCCTGCTTTCCTGGACATGGCCTGTCCACAGAAACCAGTGAATGAATTCCTTGTTTTGCTTTGCTTGTGTGCACAGCTTTTCCTTTACCTGTTAAACCGTCTTCATCTCAACCCACAAGTCTTTTCCACTTTTACTTTTCCATGTCTCTCCTGGATCCCACAGGTGGGGAAGTGAGAGTGGCTGCGTGGTACTTAGTTGCCAGCCAGGGTTAAACCACACCAGCCACACAAACCACAGTTCAAAGAACTTCTGTTTCACTTTTAAGGAGCTGATGACTAATTTTTTAAGCAGCAGAAGTTATCACTGCACTCTCCCTGTTTTTCTTCAGCTCTCAGCAAGGTCATCAATTGTTACAACAAAAGATACAAATGCGTTTCTGGCTAAGTCAAACCAAATAGGAATAGTCAACAACTGTGTCTCTAGAGCAATTTGCTGGTCTTTTTGTAACAGTTTCCCTGGAATATATCCATGGTAATTTTATAAAATCCGTTTCCAGATGCAATAGGACAAATACAGGCTTTACCATTTAAATAATATTTTACTTCCTCACTGAAAACACAGCCAACCTCAGTTTTTGTATTCAGCTTCTACAAAGAAAAACAAGTCAAAATCAGAAGTGGACCATTTGGTTAGCTGTAATTATCTAGCACTTTATCTGATTAAAGTACTGTGGAATTAGTAACCAAATCTCTCATTATTCCTGTGATAACACAAAGAATCATCATTTTATATATTCACTCACACTGGCATATATTTAAAATAGTTGTCCTGAGCATTGCAGAAAGACAGTATGCAGTTGGGATCAGAATTGGAATATATACCTATAGTGGTATGAAACTTAAAGAGTTAATGGGGCATTAATGCCAGGTTTTGTCTTCCTTCCTTACCTTGTACATTTAACAGCTAAACATACCATAGCTTGATATCAAACTGTCCCAAGTCAATGATTTAGGAAGATTTTTGCTACATGCAGTTAAGTGCTAATAGGAAAACCTCAGGTAAATCTGAAGTAACAGCTCATGATAACAAAGCAGTATTTATGCCTATCAGTTTCTAGTCCATGTTGTGATACTGTACACGGAAGACATACACTAAAAATGCATTTTTATCATGACACTGAACATTTAAGAAACACACATTTTGAAAAAGAGTAAACTGCTTACAACAAATTTTCTTATTAATGAAAAAAACATTTTACTGAGGTCATGATATCTAATTGCTGTGTATTTTTGTTAAAGTCAGAAGGGGTATCTCTTGCTAACAGCTACTTTTCACTCTTCTTAATGCTGACTTCCCTTCAAAAACCAAAGCAACAACAAGAAAAAGATCCAGTAAAAAAAAATCTTCAGCATCTACAATGTTCATGATGCTTAAGAGCGTAAACTTCAGAGATGGGATCCTAAGGTTCAGGCACCACGTGATGGCTGAGATGAACCAGAGCCTGCCAGCATCCTCACTTCACTGCTGCTGCTTTCTGCACAGGTAGCACTGGAGCACCAGCCAGGAATCCAGGTAACTGCAGTCAGCAGCTGGAAACACGCTCTGCACTTGGGCTTTCTGCAGACTGGGCACACACACTACAACTGAAGGACTGAGTTCTTTAGAGGGGTCCAGGATTACAGATACCATTGATTCACCTTGACCATTCTGGTTGGCTCCCGTAAATGAGACAATCACTAAAGCAAAAAACACGCTGATAATCTATTTGGCAAAACTCAGTCCAGCTCTTAAAGCTGACAGTTACAAGGCCACAAGCACTATTACAGCAGAAAATAGAGCAAAGCAATTCTAACTCAAAATTAAGAACATCATGTTCCTCATAGCAGTTGCATGCATAGTCTTCCAGACTGTTTCATCTGAAGATCAGAGTTCATAAAACTGTCCTACTTGATTTCTTTGAATTTTGAGACCAAAAAGAGTTGCTTCTCACATGAACATGCTCATGTTCTCCCCTCTTCCACCTTAGAGTCAGGTGTGTGACATCAGAGCAGGATTTCTCTCTCAATTCCCACTAAGCAAACAGTAGCAACTCTATTCAAACCTAACTATGAAAAGCACTCGTGTTATTTAAAGTATTTACTTTCCTTAGTTCGCACCTACTTAGTTGGAGCCACTGAATTTTTGAGCTAACTCCTCCAGTACAGTTTAATTAGACTGTGGCATTAAAACCTTATCAACAGATAATGACACACTAATGCTTAAGATACTTCATCACAACGTGCACTTCCAGGTCAAAAATGCCCATCATTTCATCAGTTTTGGAATTCTTGGGTCACAACAGATTTCTAAAACTGTACCACTGATGGATGAGCCTCATCCTTGTCCTTTCCTACATAATTTTTCACTGCTGTGAGAAGAGCTAAGGCTATTTAAGAACATCAGTTTCCATTGACATTACATACTTATAATTTCTTGCATTCAATTTTTACACCAATGTTACAGCATAGAATAAATGATAAAAGTAGAACTAACGCTTTAGGTATACTCCCCAAAGTTATTTTTCTGCAACAAATGACTAGTCCAGAAATCCAGGTTTCATCCTAAAAGCCTCTGTATTAGTCTACCTGTATCCCAGTAACTCAAATCTTCTTGCAGACCAGCTTGAATAAATCAGAGTTGAGAAAAGCCCCTTCCATTTTCCCTCCCCCTCTGGAATGCACCGTGCTAACCTCGAGTTTGGGAGGGAGACTAAGAGACAACTGAAACTACATCCTGCGCGTGGAATATCCCATGTCCTCCATGACCTAGTCCAGTTTAGCTATGGGCTTCCTAACAGACACTCATCTGCCGCGTTAAAAAAATTAAACCACTTTATTTATTTAGCATATGAGTAAACTGCTTTCAGGGGAAAGGCAACATTCACCCAGATTGGTTGAAATAGAGACTGCAGAGAGAATATTAGAGAAATATTGTATGAACATGATCTTATAAAAGAATTGCCACCAGTTCACCACCAGAAAAAGAAACTCGGTGAATAAATGCTTTGCCTTTCACTACAACCACTGCTGTCTCCCACCGTGGAGAAGGGGAAAGAACGAAGGTCTCCAGGCGTTTAATTCTGCAGGGGAACCCGAGGGACGAGCCAGAATCTCCCTCCCTCTCTTGCCCTGCCCGGATTAGGTAAGAGCCAGCCGCGCTCCCGGGGAATGTCACGGCGGGGCTGCGAGCGGCCCATTTCCCGGGCCAGCCGGTTCCCGGGCCCGCCGCGGCCCCGCCGTGGCCAGGCCGCCTCCCCGGGCCGCGCCGGCCCCGCCGCGCCGCCCGAGCACAAAGCGCGGCGGGGCCGAGCCCACAAAGCGAAGGGGCAGCCCCGGCCGGGCGGAGCGGGCCTGGGCCGTGCCGCCGCCCCCGCCCCCGCCCCACACAATGGCCCGGCGGAAGGGCCCGGGGCCGCCACCGCCGCTCGGCCCCGCTCGGGCCCGCAGGCCCCGCCACAGCTCCGCACGCCGGGGCCGCGCTTAGGCCGCGCCGGGGCCTTGTCCCGAGCCCGCCCCGCGGCCGCGCCGGGGCCTCTCCCGCGGGTGGTGGGGGCCGAAGGGCCGCGCCGGGCAGAGCCGCTCCCGTCGCCCCCTCGGCCGCTCGGGCTCCCCGGTGGGGCCGCGCTCACCTGTGTGCGCCGGGCAGGGCGGGACCCGCTGAGGCGGCCTTGGCTCCCCCGATGGGCGCGGGCTCCGTGCGGGGCCGACTCCCTGCGCCGCTCCGGCCGAGACGCTCCGTGCGCGGCCCGAGCCCAGCGCTCGCTCCCGCCCCTCGCTCGCTCCCTCGGCCGCGGGCACGCGCCGGCTGCGCCCGAGCGATCCCGATCCCGCCGCTGCCGCCTCCGCGAGAGCGCGCTCCCCAGGCGCGCTCCCGCCGCCCACCGCGCACGCGCGGGCCGCGCTCTGCCCCGCGCCCGGCCCGGGAACAAAGGCCGCGCTGCCCCCCGGGAACGCTGCGGGAATGGTCGGCGATCCCGCGGGATCCCCCGAGCCCCGGCACAGCCGCCCCTCACCCGCGTCCCCGCGGGGTCACCCGGAGCCCTCTCAGCCAGCCCGCCCCGTGCTCGGCGCTGGGCGCGGGTGTTGGGACACACCGGCATCCGCAGGGCCGGGGCCTCGGGAGCCACGCGGGGTCTGTCGCAGGGACTCGTAATTCTGTTTGAAAAATAAAAATAAAAAACCTGCAAAGTGGCCTCTCCGAGAGAGGCCGGAACCGTCCAGCACAGGGGCACACTCGTGGTTTTAATGGACTGCTGAAAACAAACCCCTCCTCCGGGCTCTGCACGGACTGTGCATCGTTCGGGTTGGGTCCCCGTCCAGCAGTGCCCTAAATGCATACGTAACTTTCAGCACATAAACTGGATGGAATAAACGTAATTACTGATGTGCTTACATACACTTTGTTGGATTAGGACCCTGTTCATCTACGGAAGCTATTCTGAGGTTTGCCAGAGGAGAGACACTTGTTTATTTTCTGTAAAATATTTAAAATATGTGTTTGCTATCTTATTCCCATTTTTTTTGAATGACTGAAGCATTTTCTTGGCCAGTTTAATTGATTATCCAGATGGTTCTCAGTATCCTCCTCGTTCCTTTGGATGACCAGGAAAACACTTCTTTTTGTGTAACATTGCTATGTTGAATCTGCCAAGTCTGCTCTTCAGAGATTTTTGTGATTAGTTTTAAGGCAGATTCTCAAAAATACATCACTGTAGTGATGCAATGCAATGCAATATAAAACCAAACCCACTCTTTAGGAATCCTCCCGAGTATGGATAATATCAATTATTTATTGTCAAAAGACGGCAACTACAGGAGTTTAACTTCGCACATCATTTCTCCCTGCACACCTTGTTGCTATGCAGTGATTATTAAGCCTTTTCTTTTAAGTATTCATGAGGAGTGATACACATGGCAATGACTGCCAACTCATAGTAGGGCTGACTTATTGAATACTTAAAGATATATGTTATGATTAAGTAAGGTACTATTTTTGTCCAGGATAGGAAGGGCACACATCTGAAGCAACATATTCTCAATATTAAATTTTTTCCCCTCCTTCGATTTTAGTACAGAGTAGGGCTAATCATTTGATGTATTTTTAAACATATGGAAGTCTATTCGGTGGTGGAAACTTCAAAAAAAGTAGTACCCTATAGAGAACAAGGAAAAAAGTATCTCTAAGAGTAGCAGTTCGTATTTTTAGAGAACCAGAATGCTTATCAATTCCAGTAATCTGTGTGGTTTTGTACAAAGCATCTCTGTGGTTAACACTTCGATCCTGGAAACACACACTAACCTTTTGCTAAAAAGAGGCAAGTGACAGTCTTGCAGTCCTGCATCAGATCAATGCATTGCCAGTTGCTCAGCATTACTAAGGTTTTGCTTTTCCTTGAGTAGAAACTAGTTTCTTGGGTAGTGAAAGTAATTAAACCTAGTTTCTAATGGGTTTTTCTTCTCTCTGATCTCACCACAGGAACCTCCCAATTCACTCCCATGTTCCTGCTACCCTCTGAAATGCCTCCAGTTTGCTCACCTGCCTCAACCCTCTGTAGCACCTCAGCTCACTCATCCCTGTAACTGCAGGTGCCCCAGAGGGAACAGCCAGCACAGCTCCTTCCCAGCTGTGTTCCACCCCCTGCTCCATGACCCAGCTCACACCTTCCAGCTCTCCAGAACAGTCACCTTTCCCTCCTCCCGTCAGTAGGACCACTCATCTCAGTTTTCCTCCACTGTTCATCATTACACTTTGCAAGAAAGTTACAGGAACTGCAGAGTCTTTGAGACTCATTCCTTCCTCAGACTGGGGTGTCATTAACCCACAGGGTCAAGAGTTAGTAGAGAGGCCTGACTGGAATAGACCCCGGAGCAGATGGCACAAGCTTCATTACTGTAGGAAACGAGGGCTAAAAGATCTCAAAGACACCTTAAGAGATCATCTAATCCATGTTCCTGCTCCAAGATAGGATCAGCTATACGTTTGTTATTCCTACCACAAGTTTGTCTAAACATCATAAAAGTCATTCATATATATCATTACATTATAATCTAAATCTCCCATTATAATTTCACTTCATTCTTGAAACACTTCACTGAACACAAGAACATTTTTTTTTCCATTTCTCAGTTTTTGATGACTTTAATCTTCAGTAAATTACATAAATTCCTTTTCATCTACAGGTTAGCACTGCAAGGCCTCTGATCTTTCTTTTCTTTTCTCTCTGCATACTCTGCAACTGCTCCTTTTATTCTTTTTCTACCATAGTTCTGGCAACCGGACACAGCACTCCAACTGAGGCCCTTTTAAATGATGAGTAATAAAGGCTGACTATGGAGGTGCCATTAAATTAGCACTATCTGTTAACATAATAATTTCAAGCCAAAGTTAAGCAATTTAACATCAAGGTTTACTAATTATTTATTTACTGACATTGTTTTTGTAGGCATTGTTTACTAGGAGAAGTACCTACTGTCACTATGGAAATATATAATAGTAAAGTCTTTGAAGTTATATAGTGCTGTAGGCCTTTAATGGGATTACTGTGTTTCCTTGCTAGACAATAATGTCTGTGGGTCTTCAGTTTCATTTTATGTAATAAAATACTTTTTTTCTCCTCTAAATTTTAGACAGTATCCTCTTCCTTAAAAGTCCTATTGTTTCACATTAATTTAGTAAAAGGGATAAACTAGTTCACACTGTTTATATAAGTTACTGTAGTATTTTACAAAGTTAATATGTTATTATAGTATACATGATTTTTTATGTGAAAAGTCATTGGTGGTTATTTTATGTTTCTGTAAAAGACATTTTTTGTTTCACAAAGGAAGAAAATATTAGCAACGCATAGCAGCATCCTCTTGAGATGAAGAAACATGATTATCAGTGGATAAACTGGCTACCAAATACTGTGCCTGGATCTGATTTCTTAGGCAGAAACACTGCTTCTGATCATTCAAAGTGACACTCAGTGCTCTGAGCTAAGTACCTACTCCCTCAGCAAAGCACTCAAACATAAACTCATTTCTAAGCTTGTCTGTAACAACACTGAAGGTAGCAAAAACACACATGCTTAAGTGATTTTCTTACTTATAGTCTCTAAAAGTAATGAATTATTTTTTACCCAGTATCCTTTCCTAACTGCTTTTTTTTTATATATTGAAATGAAAGCATTGAGCCCTGAAGAAAATTGAGTACATGGTATATCCAACAAAACACACTTATTTTGAGACTTGAGTAAATGAAGTACCTGAAGGTACTGAATAGTACACTCATTAAAAATTAGTGATTACACAAGTTACAAAAGGACACGTTGGGTCTTTACTGATCTCTTCATTCTGCAGTAGGGTGAATTTGGTTTTTTAATTTATATTCATTACTGTCTAGGCTGCTAAACATCTGTATTCCCAACCAGTTTATTTAGGGATCTTCTGGCACCAAGAAAGTGAAAGAACAGCATGACTACTTAAAGCAGCTCATTAAAAAATAATCTTAGTTTTTCAGAGAAGCATCGATAGCTGTTCCATACATGTGCTTGAGCCACACACTCTGCATAGTAACAAAATTCTGAGCTGACAAGAATTCCATAAGAAAGCAACTTTGGGTATGCTGAATCTCTTCTTATATAATGTGCTGAACTAAACCTAGTTTGTAAGAAAGTAATGAGATTCTGTGAAATAGGTGTGATATCCCACTCCTGACCTGCAAAGCCTGGTACATACACAGGATTGCTGACTCCAGCCATTTCAGTGACAAACACTGCACATGACAAAGAGCTGGGGGGGTTTTCCCTGCAGTGCTGCCTTTAACATCTGCAGTGTTCAAGCAATTTCCTCAAATTTGGTTTCCACTAAAACAAGAGAACAAATAAAACTTTCAAAAGTAAGAGCTAAAGTTTGAGAAGGCAAATAGAATCCAAACCTTAGGTTTAAAATAATAAATATTTCATTTTGAAGCTAATGTTGCGGTAGACTGGTTGGATTTGCTGGTCCTGATGTTGAGTTCATTGGATACACTCAGAGAAGCAATATGCTATATTCTATTATTAATTATAGTGTAGTTATGTACTAAGTCTTCAAACAATTTAAAGCCAACCTGAACGATATCAGATTGATATTTTGTAATTATCATAACTGACTGATTTAACTGATCTCAGTTATTTTATGAGGGAACATTTTCCACTTCTGTTTGACTTTCATGCATCTGAGTTATTTACCACTCATGTCCTATTTTAGGATTTATCAGAAGCTGAAACTGAAAGAAAAGGTGGAAGAAAGACTTCACAGAAAGATTAGGAAAACAAAAGCATTTTTAGTTTAACAGTGGATGAGTGTTGGAGACACAAACAAAAAGAATCTTTTTAAAGTGAAAAAGATTCTAAATTACTTTTTAAAAAGTTATTCTGGGCAGGAAAATGTGCCTTGTTATCCTTTAAATCATATAAACACATTGCAGAAGCCTTGTTAGAACTGGAGCTTTTAGGCAATCCCCACTGAATTAACTCTTCAGAAGCACTACAGAAGTTAATGCCTTCTTCCCCTCCTGACAAGGGCCAGCACCTTAACATTTTGTTATGCAAGCATACAGCAATCACAGGATTAGGCTGCATGTATTTTTTCTTTATGCAGCAATTATTTAAAAAACACATTTTAATATCTGTCAGTCAACTGCAGGCCTGCTAGCAAATCTGATGGGTCACAGAGCTCCACAGAAATTGTTACAATCAGCATATTTCCAGGCAATTATTACCGTGCAGGTTTAGGAGGGAAGCAAGTGACTGTGTGCCAGTGTGGGTGAAGTAATTAATCTAAATTCTGTTT